CTTAGCCTGTGGATTTCTGCTCATACCAAATCAATCATTGGCATTCTCTGGATCACAGTTTCAGTGGCACAAAAGGGAGCACAGGATTTTTATTCTGTAGTCACTGGGAAAACTAGCTGCATGTCACTGCCTGGTAGTTTAAAAATGGTGGCCTTCCATCTATGACCCAGAGGATAATGATGATGTGGAGGGACTCTTATTTTCCCAACTAGGGAGAGACATTTTAGCTGCCCCATTAACCTTGGCATGACGTTCTCAAAATACATGGCAATGACAGACTGGATAATACTAAATTACAAGAATGGTGTAAGAAAGAAAAATAATTCACTAAGAAATAATTATTTCCAACTGCCAAAATATTTAAACAATGGGTTCTAAATGTGGCACCAGATGGAAAAAAGTTACAATAGGATCCATAAATAAGCTGCAACTTTGGAAAGTTATGGACAAATAAAAAAATCCCCAGAATGTACACTGAAATATCCTCACATGGAAAGCATATATCAAATACTAGTAGTTTACTCAACATAAAACGGGGATGATATTAAGTCTTATAGTAAAATATTGAAAATAAATATGCTGTATCGTGTGATATAAGGTGCTTCTATTAGGTCGTGAGCTAAAAAATGGAAAAAAGGAAGATATCCATCTAGCTGATGAGAAGAGATAAAAATATTGTATAAAGGAATGAAAGATATATGCATTACGCTTTATTCATGCATATGGCCACATTACTTCACATGGTCACTGTGAAAGATTCCAGCTGTGGTCTGAGAAGCAAGAAACCAGTCTATCTTTCTTGGAGCGTATAATGAGACCTCTCTACAATACAGGACCAAATCCTGTCTGCATCTTGCAGCCCTCAGCAAGTGAGCTGTGCTCTGGGCAGATTCTGGGCATCTAAGGGAGAAGGATTCCTTCTCCTCCTCTAAGCAGAGTGACCAGTCTGCAGTTGCTGATGCAGCAGAGCCCTCTAGCTCCCCCCTTTTGTTTGATCCTGCTCCCATTTCAAGCCAATGGAAATTTTGCCACTCATTTCAACGATAGCAACATCCAGTTCCATTGTGTCAGAAACTGTTAGTTGACTTTGTTTCTTGGATATTATGGATTAAGCAAGTTGATAGAGATGCATTTTCTAAAATATGGAAACTACATTTGAACTGAATACATTTAGCTTATAACAAGCTCCCAGTTCATTATGGATAATGTGTGAAGTCTGCAGCATAAGAAATGCAAATATACGCCCTGCAAATATATATGCTTTTTTGGTTTGCTTTTATAAATTTAATCTAATTTGTATTATGCTTTCAGTGGACATAAGAGAAATTATCATAGATATATTTTAAGAAATTGTAACCCAATAGGAAACATTCCGAGCAATGGAGGTCAAATGGTATCCTTCAACATAACCATTTAGGACAAATCTAAAGACCTTTTCAATTTCCTTCTTTCATCAGATATGGTCAGATGATTATTATGTTTGTCATCTGCAATAACCTCTCACCTAATTCATATCTGAAACCATGAGCTGTCATTTTTTGACAAAGTAAGTTTCAGTAAATAAGCAATCCCTTTTATATGGTGCATCAAAATGCAATTTGTTGATCTGGACGTATCATTTTGTAGAAACATTTACAAGAGTATGGATCTGTTCTGCAAAGGTGTGTTATTGTGATGCGGGGGAGGGGGAGGAGTTCTTGCCACATTTGCCCTTTCTCCTCAAAAAAAGGCAAATATGTAAACATGTACCCTGATTTATATGCTGATCAAAAATGGGAGACTAAAAAGAGACATAGGTAGCTTCCTAACAACCCATCAAGATGGAATATTTTATATACCTCTCTTCCCTCCTTAACCACAAGAACTGCAAACAAATAAATATTCTCATTTTTGTAGCTTCTTAGCAGTATAAATCTGTTCCATAGCCACTTCTATTTGTTACTTTTCCAGCCTAATAGTTGCCTTTGAAACCAGCTATTAGTATCTGGCAGGAAACAAACCCAGCAACACTTCTTCAGTACCTTGCAGCAATGTTACCTGAATTCAACCAAGAAAGTGACGTTTTTAGGGAAATGACAGAATGTCCCAGATAAGTCTTTATGGACATTCCAATTGTCTAAAGAACATGTGCAAGATATATACATATATATACATATTTTGCCAACAGAAGGTATAAAAAAATCATCGCAAATCACATTTCTGCTGGGGTTTGAGGAAAACAACACGTAAAATATTTCATATTTTAGCCTTGAGTTATTTTCATCCCATTTTCAACTGCACTTGACAGAATAAAAAGGTGCAAGCTATCCTACCACCTTCAAGCCCAATCCTAAAATAAATTGCTGCCCCAATAAACTTCAAAAACAGGATCTCTTAGATTTATTTCCGAGTAGCAGCCGTGTTAGTCTGTATTCGCAAAAAGAAAAGGAGTGCTAGTGACACCTTAGAGACTAATAAATTTATTTGAGCATAAGCTTTCGTGAGCTACGGCTCACTTCATCGGATGCATTCAGTGGAAAATACAGTGGGGAGATTTATATACATAGAGAACATGAAACAATGGGTGTTACCAGACACACTGTAAGGAAAGTGATCAGGTAAGGTGAGCTATTACCAGCGGGGGGCAAGGCGGGGGAGGGGAGAGGGTGCAGAATGGCCCACCTTGGTTATCACTACAAAGGGTTTTCTCCCCCCCGCTCTCCTGCTGGTATTAGCTCATCTTAAGTGATCACTCTCCTTACAGTGTGTATGGTAACACCCATTGTTTCATGTTGTCTGTGTATATAAATCTCCCCACTGTATTTTCCACTGAATGCATCCGATGAAGTGAGCCGTAGCTCTCGAAAGCTTATGCTCAAATAAATTTGTTAGTCTCTAAGGTGCCACAAGTCCTCCTTTTCTTAAATTTATGTTCAAATCACATTCAAAATTATTTTAGATAAGCGAAGGGGAGCTGTAACCAACTCTGTATCATTTCACGCTCGATAATATGTTATGGTCCAAATGTAATAACTCATTTGAAGGAGTTTGCATCTCTTACTAGGTTACCAACACCTGCATACCAATCATACAATGATACTCGCATGTGTCTTTTCAGAAAGCGGGTGTTTGAGGAAGGAGTCAAGTGGTTCATGCATGAGTATACCCTAACTATTAGGAGTTCTAACTCCTGCCTGCTGCAAAGAGAGCTACAGCTGCTTGCCTTCTGGGTTAATTTTCTAGACCAGCAGTTCTCAAACTTTAGCAACCCGAGGACCACCATTTTGATTTTAAAATGTTCATGGACCCCCAAGCCCACCTGTCAGCCCCAGGCCCTGCCCCTACTCCACCCCTTCCCCCAAGGCCCCACCCCTGCCCTACCTCTTTCTACCCCCTCCCCGAGCACACCCCATCCGCGCTCCTCCTCCTCCCTCCCAGTGCCTCCTGCATGCTGCCGAACAGCTGTTCCCCAGCATGCAGGAGGCACTGGAAGGGATGGCAAGGGGTTAATCAGCAGGGTCAGTGGCCCTGGGCATGATTCCATCCCCTCCCCCTCCCTTCCAGAGCCTCCTGCACACTGCTGAACAGCTGTTCCCTGGCATGCAGGATGCGCTGGGAGGAAATAGGAGGAGTTGATCAGCAGGGCCTGCGGATCCCCTGGACTACCCTCTGTGGACTCCAGTTTGATAAACGCTGTTCTAGACAATGGAAACAGCAGCAGAAGGAAATCATGAGGAAAATGTTACAATGCAGACTACAGCACTGGAAAATAGGTACAACTGAATATTTTATGCTGGTCTTAGTAAATCACTTTTAGGTGCTGTCAGAAATTGTGCTGTCAGAAATTGTGCTTATGAACGTTCTTCTTCTAAACATCACCCATTTCTCTCCTAACCAAGGGCTGTTTTTACACTAAACTTCTAATGATTTGATGCTTTCCTACTAATTAACATTCCCACTGATTTCTGGCACCATTATAATCAAGTCAGTGTTTCCATTATAATTTGTTATTATCCAGTACAGCACCATACTTTATTGAGTAAATAATATACACACTTTTAAGAGTTCCAAATTTCATTTCAGTTATGGACTATGGGGTTTATGAAGAGCTGCACCAATCTACTGAACACACATGTTCTTGGGATAATTCCCCAATTAAGTATTCTAAGGACTTCCTTAAAAAATGTAATTCACAATTAAGGCGGATATGATTCCTCTAATATCACCCTCTTATGCCCAACTACTGCAGCTGGCATGATATTCAAGCAGGGATTCCAGCACTAGCGGAGGGACTTTACATGCAAAATTAGTTCAGTCCTCTGGGCATACTGGACTTTTCAGAAATACGAACTAGTCCAATCATATGACTTTAAAAAAGGTCACAATCTCATATGACAAACTGCAGTATTGTTGCAGAATCCTTCCAGATCTTGATTTCTATTTTCTCTTCCAAGGATTTTAGAAATTTACTGGGGATAAGGCACCTGACTGGGACTCTGAACACCTTGATTCTAGTTCTAGCTCTGCCAGTGTTGTGTGATCTTGGACAAAACCATCTGTCATTCTGTGCCTCTATTTCCCCTCCCACCCTTTGTGTGTCCTGATCAATTTACACTGTAAGCTTCTGGGCACGGTCCATTTCTCACTATGTGTTTATACAATGCCTAGTACAATTAAGCTTGATCTCAGTTGGGACCACAAGACACTATCATAACACAAATAATAATTAAAACGTTATTTTCTGTTCTAAAAAATGGTGAGCTTTTAAATGCAGAGGAGTGGACTTCTCCCTCCACACAAAAGGAATCCAAAATGAATGCCTGGAATAAAGTGTGCTTGATTTGTAAAATCTGTGATGCAAGATCTTCCAACATTTCTAACTGCATCGTGTCAGCCCTAACTACAAAGTTTTCTGTTACTTGTTTATTTAAACCAAGCCTTTTTATTTATGCAGAGGAAACCATCAAATGGCCTAGAATAGTCTCAACCAATTACGTCATTCATCCGTGTACTGTACTCACTTATCTGATGACTCTGAAACCATCTCAACTTCTTGCAGATCTCTCAAAATATCCGAACTGGAGCTGAAAGGATAATATAAAAAAACCTTTTAGACTATATAAGCAATCCTTGACTATTATCCAGCACTCCACTTTCAATAATAAATTCATTCTCATGGAACTTATTATAGATCCCCAATTCTCAGGGTGATTCTTAGCTGACTGATGCTCCAGCATAGGTTAGTGAAGTTAAAGGACCACACACCAGCTGAGCATAGCCAGAATGCAGTATGTTCTGGCCACTTCCCCTTCCCACTTCCTGAACCAGAGATCAGTGTGCAAGCAGGGACGAAGAATCAGCCACGTTGGTGGAATTCTCAGCTGGCCAGATCCAACTGCTTTCCCTCTTCCTTGCACCAATCACATAGTACAATGGGGAGGGGCACATATTAGAATAGAGAAACTGGCCCTTTAGTTGTCATTTAGATTAGCATCAATGAAATAAAGACTCGCATGTATTCTGTGAGCACTACCATGAAGGTGGTTAAACATGACAGCCACAAGATTAACGAGTCTCTGAAGATGAGCATAGTAATCCTTGTCTGTTTACAGTGACCATCATGCATGAACAGTTTGACCAGGCAGATTTTAATATAAAGAGATTGTGTCTAGTTTGTTTTCAAAGATAAATATTTTCCTGTCAATTTTTCTGTCAAACTTTTGATAGCAGAATACCAAAATGTCAATTTCTTTATAAAATGTATCACCTCTGTTGAAGAACCACAAATTAAGAGTAAAAAACCCTATAATACTGAACTGCCATATTCCAAACAATCAACCAATGTACTGTCATTTTGGCTTAACTCCACTCCTTGTCCAGCTCTCTCAATCATTTCACAGGATTTTTTCAAAGGTAGGGAACCTGTTCGTGTTATAGTGAACAAACTCTCCAAGCCCCAAAATCATGTAACATCATTAAACAGAAAAGCTTTTAAAAAAAATAATTTCAATATATTGGATCAAAAATATAAAAGCACAAATAAGAGAAAAAATGAAAAAAAACCTGTTCAGACTAACAGATGATAAATGTCAGAGTGTCGTACAATTAATCACATCATGGCCACTGTGAAAGCAAAAACATGCTGCTTTTGTGGAGCATCACAAATTTTATTTCCCAGTGACTCCCATCTGAACCTCGTCTTTCCAATCTCCAGCTGATTCCTTCATTCCCAACGTTCATATTGCCACTGCATCTGCTCCTTCTGGCCAAACAAATAATCCACTTTATATTTCCTCCTGCCTGCCAACTGCTGCTCCAACACCTCCTCTTGCTCCGTTTCCAACCCTCTCCAGGTTTCCCAATGCGCCTAATCTAAGCCAGTTCTCCCCTGCCTTCTACAACCTCTTACACTCCACACAGCACCAGGATGGAATCTCAATGAGATAGAGTGCCATATTTTTAAAAATAATTAGAATGACTGTGCTAGTGTGCGGCCTGTATATGTGGCTGGGAATCTGTATCAGAAGTTCCTAAATCCCAGTGCAATGCTTAATATACTAGGCAACACTGTCCCAGTCAGTGCTCGAATCAAACATATATCCTTTTCTGACGTCCCTTTTAAAAATTACAATAAAAGGCAAGAGACATGTACGTAAAATTAGAATCTGTTCATCCATTACCAATTCTTTTCTTCTTGCTGCTTATTCCTCCGCTGAAAGTACAATCCCTGATTGCAAAGATTACGATTAGTTGCTGTAGAGATAATTGTGAAATCACTAAAAGGATTAGGATTTCAGAGGAGAAATAAACTACCAAAATCAGATTAAGTGCTATGGAGCAGTGAGACTTCTTATGCAAATATGCCTGCCGTGTTATCGTAGAAAGCTTGGGATATTACCTTACCCACTTTGTGTGTCTGTGCAAACGTGCTCAGTCATAATGATAAAAAGGGAAGATAAAAAGCAGAACCAATGGAGGTATACAGACAAAATGATTTCAAAGCAGAATGGGTTTTCAAAGTTTCCTGTGAAGCATTAGACTTTTTCCAGTGGTTCCTTTGGATCATTTGTGAACCACTGAATAAAGAATCTGTAATTAACAAATAATATAAAACATATAGACATACCATTATCTGAAATTAAGAGCAGTGATTGTGATTATGGGGTAAATTTCTCCCTCATGCACCAATGCTGGGTCATAGGGCTCGGCACAAGAGGGCTCCATTGGGGCGCCAGTGGGAAGGAATTCTGTTTCCCCCACAGGATGCAGAATGGGAAAAGAGCTGCTCCATGACTACCTGGGATCTCCACTTGAGTTGCATCTGGCTTACAAATGGACACTTGCCTGGTGGGCTCAGTAACTCTCCATGCATCTGACAAAGCGGGTTCTAGCCCACGAAAGTTTATGCCCAAATAAATTTGTTAGTCTCTAAGGTGCCACAAGGACTCCGCGTTGTTTTTACTGATACAGACTAACATGGCTACTACTCTGAAACCTGTCTCCAGATTAAGCTTCAGCATTCTAAACAAGCTCCAAAGGCTGTTGTGTGAGTTCAAATGTATACAATCAGTAACATGGCTACATAAACATAAACCACGCAACTGATAGCCGTGAATGACCAAGACTCTTCCCTCCCCAAAACAAACAAATGTCTGACACCCCCTCCAATTCCATCCTTCCCACAAGTGGGAAAGTTAAGAGGAGAGGAATGATTTAACGTGACCTATGTAGAAGTCACTTGTGTTACTCTAAGTTCCAATTCAGCAAAGCACTTAAGCACATGCTTAACTGTAAGCACGAGCAATCCCTGAATTCTGAATGTGACTACTCGTGCTTAAACACTCTGTTGAATCAGGTATTGAAACATCAGCCCTGCCACAGAGCACCAGCATATTGTACCAGCTAAGAGCTGCAGAAACAAATGGACTATGATTTTATAAAAAGAAAAGGAGGACTTGTGGCACCTTAGAGACTAACCAATTTATTTGAGCATAAGCTTTCGTGAGCTACAGCTCACTTCATCGGATGCATACTGGGCACGCTGTATGTACGCTGTGCCCAGTATGCATCCGATGAAGTGAGCTGTAGCTCACGAAAGCTTATGCTCAAATAAATTGGTTAGTCTCTAAGGTGCCACAAGTCCTCCTTTTCTTTTTGCGAATACAGACTAATACGGCTGTTACTCTGAAACCTATGATTTTATAGTGAATTCAACACTCAGGGGCTGGGGAGATGGGGAGGAAATAATTGGTTTCTTACTGTGCAATAATTAAACTAATCTGAGCAAGTTAACTAAAGTAAAAAGATACATCAGAGCTCCTAAAAAAAAAGAAAAAGTTAATTTGCCATGTCCTTTAGCCCCATAACAAATAAGCATACTTAAACAAAAAAAATGAACAACAAAGTAATTGTTGCCTGTCATATATTCACTTCACTGTGCATAGGTAATTTAAGGATCTCAGATCATTCTGGGTATGTGGGATCTTAAATGCTGTAAATGTCCAGGCACAACAGAGCTCATTAAGAATGGAGTAGCAGGACTGCCTAGTGGTCTAATGAGAGCAAATTCTGTTGTCACTGAAGGGACCACTGTCTGAGTGCACACCCTGGCACGGCAGAGATTATGTGTTCATCTTGTGGCTATGTACATGCTGATCTTAAATCAATGCTACACTGTTGACTTCAGTGGTGCTACTGTAGTTTTGCACTGGTTTAAGTGATAACCAGCCCACGTCCTATATGGGTAAGCAGAAGTGTAACGAGGTACACAGACATAATGAATGCTCACACATTTTGGATGCACAGTGAGGCACACAGCCAGACAACAGGTTTCTGGGTATCTAATATATTGATGTTGTGAAGTGAATTATCGCTTTAAATAAAGGTTATGCTATGATAGAAAATCAATAGCTGATTAAAAAGGCAATATAAAGGACAGAAAAATAGTTCTTATTTCAAAATAAGATTTTTCACTGATAGAACATTTATTTCCAGGAAAACAGAACAGCAGCAGAGGCGGCTGGCCTCTTGTGTATTTCACACGTTGAGACTGAAGGCTTCAAATTTCGTATTTCCAACATACTCTTCAAATCTCTACCACGTTGCCTTTTAATCGCATTACCACTATGTTATCATCTAGCGGATCACTTCTGAACAAAACCGCACCATGATTTAAACAAACATTGCTCGTGCCCCTATTTTTAGTCTGTCTTGTCTATTTAGACAGAAAGATCTTTGACGTAAGGAGTGTCTCTACTTCCAGTACATAGCACAAAGGGACCCTGTACTTGGCTGGCCCATTGGCACTACTATAATGAACACTATTAATAAGAGCAATTTTAAATGGTAAATAGAGTCCAAAATATGGAGTAGGGATTATTGCTGTTTTTCCTCCTTTCATTGGCAAAGTAAATTACCCAATAATGAATAGCTATACAAGTGCTAGTTATCTATTATTATAGATGATGTACAAGCTTTGCACCAATATTAAATACTCACATGGCAGAAATTTTGCCAACCAAACGCCTTCTTTTTTAAAAAGGACAAATCTAGTGCACTTCCATTATAACACAAGGATAGTAAAACATTTTTGACAGCTGGAAGACTAAGAACTTCTAGAATACATTTGGGAGTAGATTTAGAACTCAATGGCTTATGCCTCAGGTCAGTTAAAAGTTAATTATTCTACAAAAGAAACACGATTGACCTCCGGGAAAGGATATAAACTTGATTTATAGAGCAGATACACAACCGGCTTCACATAGCTGTACTGTCATCACCTCACTGGGATCCACTCTCCCAATGAGGTCTCCATACAGAACTGTATGTGGAAGTTGAGCACCCAAAAACTAACTGTCAGTGATTTACAGTAAAAGAGATAAAAGCCATTAACTAATCTGTCTGATTATCTTTCCTACTGGATTTAGTCATTAGTCCTACGGGCTTATCAAAAGTTCATCACAGATGTCATAAATATAAAGGGAAGGGTAAACCCCTTTGAAATCCTTCCTGGCCAGGGGAAAGCTCCTCTCACCTGTAAAGGGTTAAGAAGCTAAAGGTAACCTCGCTGGCACCTGACCAAAATGACCAATGAGGAGACAAGATACTTTCAAAAGCTGGGAGGAGGGAGAGAAACAAAGGGTCTGTGTGTCTGTCTATAGTCTGTCTTTGTCGGGGGATAGACCAGGAATGGAGTCTTAGAACTTTTAGTAAGTAATCTAGCTAGGTATGTGTTAGATTAGGATTTCTTTAAATGGCTGAGAAAAGAATTGTGCTGAATAGAATAACTATTTCTGTCTGTGTATCTTTTTTGTAACTTAAGCTTTTGCCTAGAGGGGTTCTCTATGTTTTTGAATCTAATTACCCTGTAAGATATCTACCATCCTGATTTTACAGGGGAGATTTCTTTATTTCTATTTACTTCTATTTTTATTAAAAGTCTTCTTGTAAGAAAACTGAATGCTTTTTCATTGTTCTCAGATCCAAGGGTTTGGGTCTGTAGTCACCTAGGCAAATTGGTGAGGCTTTTTACCAAACCTTGTCCAGGAAGTGGGGTGCAAGGTTTTGGGAAGTGTTTTGGGGGGAAGGACGCGTCCAAACAGCTCTTCCCCAGTAACCAGTATTAGTTTGGTGGTGGTAGCAGCCAATCCAAGGACAACGGGTGGAATATTTTGTACCTTGGGGAAGTTTTGACCTAAGCTGGTAAAGATAAGCTTAGGAGGTTTTTCATGCAGGTCCCCACATCTGTACCCTAGAGTTCAGAGTGGGGGAGGAACCTTGACATGGTGGCATAGTGGTGGGATTAACCTGAAATCATTTTGAGATCCAGTTGAGATTTTTTGAACTAGAAATACAGATTTTAAAAAGGAAATTTTTTTTTTCCTTTGGAAAGGAAGTCCAGAAAGCAGCTGAAACTGAAAGCAGCTTGTTTTTTCTCTGCTTTGTGGCCAAGCAGAGACAAAAGGGGATTATCTTTGTGAATTGCAGGTTTTCTTTGCCTGGAGGCAGGGTACTTAACTCCTGCAGGGAAATTCACAGTCTTCCAACCCAGAGGTTTTTTTTTTTCTTCCTAAAAGTAAATAGGGGGGGTGTGTTCTACCTATTTGCTTTTTCTTTGGGCTGGGTAAGCAGGTTTCCAAGTAGTTGGAGGTTTTTTGCTTTAATTTGGGCCCAGAGCAAAGACAAGGGAATTGTCTTTTTCTGTAGGCTGACAATCACTATCAGGGTTTTTTGCTTTAATTTGGGCCCAGAGCAGAGACAAGAGAATTGTCTTTTTCTGTAGGCTGACAATCACTATCAGAAATAGTTATTCTATTCAGCACAATTCTTTTCTCAGCCATTTAAAGAAATCATAATCTAACACATACCTAGCTAGATTACTTACTAAAAGTTCTAAGACTCCATTCCTGGTCTATCCCCCGACAAAGACAGACTATAGACAGACACACAGACCCTTTGTTTCTCTCCCTCCTCCCAGCTTTTGAAAGTATCTTGTCTCCTCATTGGTCATTTTGGTCAGGTGCCAGCGAGGTTACCTTTAGCTTCTTAACCCTTTACAGGTGAGAGGAGCTTTCCCCTGGCCAGGAAGGATTTCAAAGGGGTTTACCCTTCCCTTTATATTTATGACAACAGATATTTGCACAATCGTAATTTCTCTTTGGTGAGACAAGAAGTTTTATGGTTTTGGCCTGAAATTGGCAATGGAACACTACAGATAAGTTTAACAGTACTATGGACACACACAAAAGAATGACAATTTATGAGAAATCTGTGCATGTGTACTGCTTTCAATTGCTTTGTTTGCTCTCAGCAACAAAGTGAGTTTGGATGGCGTGAGAAAGTCTGCTGTAATTGGGTTTTTTCACAGATCTTAATTTCATTTGATTTTTTAAAATTCTACAGCTATTTTCTATATATAGCTAACTAAAGGATAAGTCTCATTAAAATTCTGCAACACCCACACACAAAAAGCAGGAATCCTTATTGTAACTCTATGCAATGGAAACTAATGCTGGAAATGTTGTTTCAAATTAGTTTTCTCCTGTTTTAGAACAATAGCGGACACTATTGGTTTGATTTTGATCTCACAATAGAGTAAATCCAGAGTAACTCCACTGAAGTCAGGCATTACACCAGAGTAAAAGCAGTGGGAGATTGGAAACAGGCCCTCTCTATTGCAGGCTAGCTGGAATGATAGCTGGAGGTCTAAGAAATGAGTAGTTATTTTAAAATCCTACCCTATTGTCCCAAATACATTAAACAAATATTTAAAGAAGTCCTTCCCTCCGGACTGCACTTTGACATGATGGGAAGGTTTGTGTGTTCCAATGACTGAGAGCTATGCCGGTGTGAGTTTTAACTCCTTGTATGGCCACACAAGCTGGACAGGTCAAAATGGTATGGCCCAGATGAAAAGCAGTCTACTGGACCCCAGGCTGGGGGTTGAGCAATAGGCCAACAACCCATCTTCGTAAAAAAATTAAGTTATCGAAACAGCATGATAGACAGGGATGGCGAGGCCTTCTTTGCGTCCTAAGTGATATCTGATTGTACGGAAAAGATTCAGATTTTAAAAGTCACCCCCTGACAGAGCAAGAGGCAGGTTAGTTCCTGGGTAAGATATACTTTCTTTACAGGAAAGATTTTTAAAGATGTGGTTTTGTTACCAATTAGGGCAGACTGCGGCCACTGTCACAAGCAAAGCAGTAAGAAAATGAAAAAAAATTGGGCAACACTCAAGAGCAATAACAAATTCATAATATTTGTGCACATTTTACACATGGTTTTGAAATAGTTTTTGACTGAAGTAAAGCTGAGCACATAATGCACTATGTAGTTACTTACTGTCCTAGGGAACATTAGCCACTGAAACTCACAAAAAGCTTCAATCCAAATAGTAACCAGAGCTCTGGAGGGGAAAAAAAAAAAATTGAAATTGTGGATTTTTTCAACCCAATACTCAAATCAACCCTTACACTGTATTAAATATGTTGTACTGAGAGATTGAGGATATATGCACACACATCCACCCCTGCCTGCCTCTGTGTTCCTAGTGAGAGACAGCAGGAGCATTCCATGTTAATGATTTGCTCTTTGTTTCCCGAAGCAGAGCAGCACATCACGCTGGCTGTCAGAAGGGGGCTTTGAAAGAGGAAGGGCGCATGCCTGCTGCTGAGGGCTGCTGAGTTAAAAAAAAAAAAAAAAAAGTAGAGCGGTCACTGCAGGCATTGCGGGACGCCTCTGGAGGCCAATTACCAGCAATAAAAGCAAGAAAGGTGTTTACATTAGGGTATGTCTACACTGCCCACATTACAGTGCGGCCACGGTAGTGCTGTTATGTGGGCAGTGTAGTCACGCTTTATCACCGGGGAGAGCTCTCCTGGTGTAAAAAATAACCACCCCAAACAAGGGGTGATAGCTTTATCACCAGGAGCATGGCTCCCATCGATAAAGCCCTGTCTATACTGCCACTTTGTCACTCGGGGGCGTTGGGGGGGGGGTGTTTTCACACCACTGAACAACTAAAGTTTTAGCGCTGAAAGTGGCAGTGTAGACACAGCCTACACTGGCACTTTGGCGATAAAACCTTTGCGCAAAAAGCCTTACCACTCTCGTCAAGGTGGTTTTATTACAGCGCTGCAACTGAGGAGTTTCTTTGCAAAAAGTGGCTTTGCAGTGTGTACACCTCTGCTGTTTCATCCTTTGCTGCCTTTTGGTGACAAACCTCGGCAGTGTCGATCAGCCTTAGTTTGCTAGATAGAATACCTTTTACCTATAACCTTTTATAGATGCTGATCATTCACACTCAATCAGGCTGAAACTTTGGGCCCAACTTTTCACTGCCTTACACCTAGTGTTATCATTTACACCTCTACAGAGTGTCAAAACACTTCTATTCTGATTAATAGCTGTTTATGCTCACTTTGCATTTACTTTGTACAAGTGTCAATAACTACACAAGGTGCCAGGCAGCAGGGATTCAAGCCCTAATAATTAATTTCACATATACCACAAAAGAGCCATCAGAGAGTAATGACTTTTGATCACTAAAACCTGTAATGGATTTGAACTAGCAACTAACAAGGAAAAACTATGTTATCTCATTCCCAATCTGCTGAGCCAGTCAGTCACCACATTATTTTAATTTCCACTGTATGGTATAGTGCTAACAATTAACAAAGATGCAGCCTTTATTTCACAAAATAATTACTCACGTAACTAAACTGAGACCAACAGCAAACACAAAAATTATAGTCATGATTTTGTTCTCAGTTAACTGACATCAGATTTAACTGTATCACCTTGTGATCAGAATCCAGCCCATGATTCATTACTTGGTCTTCTGTTAATACAGAGTTACAGGAGACTGAACACGGCAATTTCATGTCCACTCCCTGTGTTAGCCAAACTTTTCAAGCACTTATTGTCCTTATGGAAGAGCTTATAGTGCCATTTTGCCAATTCACTCACTGGAAAGCAGTGTTTTTACTTCACATCATAAATCTCTCCTTTGCCTAAAAAATAAGAAAATAGTCATCCGCAGTACTATGAGTTAAGTTGTGGCTTTCCCACAGCTCTGACCAAAGGTCCGTGCGTAGTTGCTGCTCCAGGAGCATATTAAGAATCAGATGGTGACTTCTTGGTTCCCCACTTCCTCTAAGTGGGGAAATAAACTACACCAGCCATATATACCAGGTACAGATTACTTCCCCCAGCAAGCAAGCCTTTTGAATATGATTTAAATGTGCACCTAACTTAACCGAACATCGTGAGCCAAACTTCTGAGATCTCATTCAGCTTCCAAAACCACAGACAACTTTTTTGCACAACTGTTTTCTGTTTTGTCTTTATTAAAAACCAATGCTCTTAAGACTTTGCATATTAAGTTTCAACTGAGTGAATTTTAATAGCAGAACTATAAAGCCCTGAAACTCAAGTGCTTTGTAATGGAAAAGTTGAGAACTACAGCAATAGGGGTCTGAACTCTCATTTGTTGGAGTTGCTCTCAAGTTGTGTTAAGTGCAGATCACATCAGTCTGAAGCACTTTCCAAGTCTGGCTCAGTTTATTCATGGCTGGCTACTACAATGGAATAATAGGCATTCTGCCAGCAGTAACGCATTCTTTTATTGACTAGAGTTTAGATTTGACTATAAAAAAATTTAAAGAAAACCAACTGTCCTGAAAAAAGAAAAAGCTAAAATAAAAAAAAAGAGCTAGTCTCCTTACGTTTATTTATTTTAAAGGGGGACTCCGTTTTTCTTAGCTTCAGAGGGAATGGCCAATGTCTTTAATCAGTCCATCTTTCTGGGTATTAGGTACTTAGCAGCGTAGATGTCATCCATCTCCAATACCCACGCTCAACACGCACACACTGAAATATGAGTTCACGTGTACAATACTTGTTAAAAAAATGTTAAGTTCTTGACACACTCTCTCAGTCAGATAAAAGATGACCAGACAGTTTACTGTATGGAAACAGTGTTTGATGTGCCTAAAGAAGTCCTCAGCTTTGTAAAGAGGAAGAATCAGCACAGGTTTGATGAAAATGACGCAGAGATAAAGCAATTCTTGACATCCATGCATTTTCTTCCGGCATTTTGGATAAATAACTCATCTATTAAAAAGATGGCTTATTTATGTACAAAGCTAAAGCTTCACCAAATGAACAACAGCTTGTGGAAAATAAAAGCTGAGCAATTTCAATCAGTGGCTGACCAAAAAGGCTCCAAATGGTGGGTTGTTTTTTTTGACAAGCTGAAGACCAAGTATGGCCCGCAATCTGGTATCACCCCCTCTGCAATGTAGATAAGTCACTACTACTCACCGATCATGGACAAACTCAGAAAAGAGAGGCTGCAAACATGATGATAATGAACACTTTAATTAGGTTCTGAACTGCCCGTCCACTACGTCAGCATCAGCACTTCATGATCATGAACAACGTCCAATTCAAGACCAACTCTCAATTTCACCGAACACCTCTGAAGCATGAAAAGCTGTCATGCAAATGTCACAACAGCAAAGCAGCAGGTCCACCTGGTATTCCTGTAGAGATCTTCAGATGTGGGGGCCATGAGCCGATCAGGAAGCTCACTGGCCTCAACTTAAGATTTTGGGAACAGGAGGCTGTACCACAGGAACTTAAAGAAGCCAACATTATTCACCTCAAAAAAAAAACAAATCACATTTCTTGCAATAACCATCATGACATCTTGCTCCTTGCCACTGCAGGAAAAAATACTCGAGTCATGTTAAACCTAACTGCTAACTGCTCAATTTGCAGAGGAGATAATGCCTGAAATCCAATGTGGCTTCTGTTCTGGACTTGGTACTTCAGACATGATCCTTGCACCCCAGTAAATTCAGGAGGAATGCCATGAGCAGAATCAAGACCTATACATAGTTTTTGTCAATCCTATTAAAAACTTACTCTGTAAATCAAGATGGCCTGTGGACAGTCCTCAGCACATTTGGTTCCTCAATAAGTTGGTCAACATTATCAAATATTTTCATTCTGGAATTCAGATTTATGTCCTTGACTGAGGCTGATTGTCATCACCAATGGAGTAAAAGAAGTTTGTGTTCTTGCCCCAATTTCATTATCATCATGTTTGCAGCTGTTCTAATAGATGCATTCAGAGACATTGAGTATGGCATTTATATGCTCTACAATATGGATGGAGGTGTCTTGAAGCTGCATCTCTTGTGTGCAAAGACAGAAAGGTATGAAGACAATTATTCAGTTGCTCACTGACTGCTTTGTATGTGCTGCAAACTGTTTTGGATTAACTATCAACTCAAAGATGACAGAAGTCATGGGCCAGCTTCAACCGAGAAGTACTGCAACTACTCCAGGTGCATCCATCGATGATGTACCATGGAAGCTCACTGGAAAATTTTGCTACCTATGCAGTTTTGTTTCATGTAATGCAATGACCGATGACAACATTATGAAATGCGTTGGGGCAGCCAGAGATGCCTTCAGAAAACTTCACCATAGTGTTTGAAGCAAACACGGAATCAGAACTGCAAACAAAAATTGATGTTACCGTGCTGTTGTCATACCACACTCTTCTATGGCTGAGATACATGGACTATTTATTAATGCCACATAAAATACTTGGACTAATTGCACATACAATGTCTATGGTAGTTAATGGGTATTAAATAGCAAGATTCCAAACACCGAGGTCCTTGAGTCCTGAAACAGCATAAGTGGTGACACCTTTATAGTGAGAGCACAGCTGAGATGGTGCAGTCATGCAGTCTGCATGTCCAACAATAAAATACCAAAGGCTCTCTTCTATGGAGCATTGCAGACTGGAACTTTTGGGGGTGGGGGGTGGAGAGCAGGCCAAGAAAACAACATAATGACACTCTAAAGGTCAACCTTGCAATGTTGACCTCAACACCTGGTAGCTCCTAGTTCATAACAAGTCCTCTGTACTTTGGACTGGAAGACTTCAAGCGCTCATAGATTGCTGCAATCAAGGAGAGCTGTGCAAGGCATAAAGCTAAAAGCAGTGCACATTTATCTAAACTTGTGTTCACCTGTGGCACTTGGGGACAGGGCTGCAGGTCCAAAATTGGTCTTCGGTCTCATCTCAGGATCCACAATGAGTGACTGTAGCTCATTTGTCCAATTCAGCAAGAGACTTGATCATATCATTATTTTTTTAAACTGAGTGTCCCTTTAACCAGACATTTTGATTACAGGCTAGTAGAACTGTTTATATCTGGTAAACTTCATGTTTTCTAAATGAAAAGGGGCCTCCTACACTCCCTAAATCTGCTTCTTAAATTGGCAGACAAAAGCCCCAGTTCAGCAAAGTACTTCAGCACATGCTTAAGTGCTTTGCAAAATCTGTACATTGGAGCCTCATTTAAAGCACAAAAAGTTAATGCC